CACACACACATACACACGCACGAGCGCGCGCACACACACACACACACACACACACACACACACACACACTCACTCACTCACTCACTCATCCAACCACGGCGCACGCGCGTAATTGAGTTCACGGCAATATTGCATATATTGTTATATTTTTGGTTCGAATTTTTATTTGTGAATGAAGGCTGAGAAGTGAGACATGGAAAATCAATGCCAAGGCCTTGCAAGTTTAGTAGCAACCGTTTATATAATTTTTTGCAATGTCGTTCTGCTTCATTTGATTTGGTTGAGGAATTGATAAATTCCAGAAAAATGTCGCCTCGTGCCGAAACGGTCTAGCCAGTCCTGCTTCCATTTATTGCTGAACGAAGACAAAAATGTTAGCAAGGGAACGAAATCAATGCATAGCAGATTAAGAACTACCCTGAGGATAGCCATTCGTTCTTACAACCAGCAGGTCCTTGCATTGTTTCCAGGACAGACTATTTTTATTCTCTTTTTTTTTCTTTTTTGGTTAGGCCGGTGAGAAAAGCAAAGAAAGAAAGAGTCCGATAGTATCGTCGTAGCCAGCTAGCGCCTGCGGGTGAGTTCAACAGACCCAGCTATCGGCCCAGCGCGCACACGCGATGAAAGCTGAAAAAGATCGATATTTAGGTTTGCGCGTGCGAGCAATTTTAGAAAACGCAGCTCTCTCCCATTTCTTGTCCTCCCGCCGCTCGCTCACTGTACATTCAACGTAAACCCATCAACAGGCCCAGGCGATATAATAATATAATGTAGCTCCACACCACGCCGGGCTCGCCGCGCTGCTGTTGTTAGTTTTGTTCATTCTTTACTGCGGATGATGCTTCACTCTGTCTGTTCTTCCTCACGGAGTAAGTAATGAACGACTGAGGAGGAAACAAAGCTTTCGTGTTTATTGTTAGCTGCAGCAACAGCAGCAGTAACAGAAGCAACAGCAGCAGCAGCATCAGTAGCAGCAGCGTCGGCGGCGACGTCACGTAAGCTGTGGCGATCTTCTTCATGCTGATTTCTCGTTGGGTGGGGACACCTCTTCGGCCCCCTCTTTTAGACTCATCGATCAGGGGAGGACGCAGTGCGGTTCAGTGTCTTAGTCTGTGAGTGTGTCTGTCTGTACGTCCGTGTGACGAAACTAAGAAAATGATCAGCTAGCCGCACTGCTCTGTGCTGGTGCTTGCTGTTCAGTGCCTTGTCTCTGACTTGTGCCTCGCCCCTTCAAGACGACCTCGACGATTTCTTTATTGTCGACAGTTGTGCTGCGAGTGGGATTTTCTCTAATACCGGTACCTGGAGATGGCGTGTGCTTGGTGGAGAGCTGTCGCTCACATCCTCAAATAGGGATTTAGGTAAGTTTGGCTAGAACCCGAAGAGTGATTCCCTAGAGATCGCTCGTTGTGTGGATATATGTCATGACAGGTTTGTCACGTAATGTAGTGACACGTGCGGTGACGTTCTTAGTGCAATAACGCGTCTGGTGATATCTTAGTACAGAGTACCCCACGCTTTCAGCTTATATCTGAAAATTTAAAAGTCTCCAAAGAAGTGTGTGTTGTTCCGGATTTAATCACCATCTACACAGATTGA